CATGAAAGTGGCTAAAGCTGAAGAAGATTAAAAAACAATTACATCAGCAAAGGTAGAGATGTTTTCAAATGTCGAATTGTGTAAACTATTTGATGTGTTTTTCCTTCGTGAACATTCAGATATGTTTGAAAAACGAATTCAGACAATATCGCTCGAAATTTTGCACTAATATAAATAAAATCAGTGCCATGTCACAGAATGGAAACTAAGGGAAACATTAAGACGAAACACACAATTTATTATCGTTTCAAAAACCGAAAACTAACGGAAATTTTAGCAGGACGGTGGCAAACGTGGAAAAGAAGATGCTAAACGATTGAAGCAAAAAGACAGATTAAACTGAGACAAATAAAAATGTCTACAAAATACAGATAAATTGTTTTGTGTTGTTGCAAACAGCGCCAAGAAGCAGTGTTATTTGAAAAACGAGATAAAAGTAAAAATGTAATAGTTTTATATTTAGTTTAGGAAAATAAAATTGACTAAAGAATAACCTGAATACACTTAAGGAGATTGTCAAATGTTGGATTATTCAAGCCAATTGATCATCATTTAATTCTCAAACATCAAAGTGCTTGAAAACAAGTGTAGAAAGACTCGCTGAGAAATTAACAGGAATAGAATAATAAATAACATTAAAACCGGTATTAACAAACGAAAATGGAAACGAAACGCAAATTATTATCGTTGCAAAAACTGATGTTTAATGTAATAAAAGTTTAGCGATTATTTAAGTGAAGACAAACGAAAGTGAAACGCGATAAAGCTGCCGAGGGAATAAATAATTTTGAATAGCATGAAAAAGCAGTGAAGTTTGATAATCAAGATCAAAATAAATATGTAAATGTGCTTGAAAGACGAATGCAAGGAAGATCGCATGAAAGCATGCCCAAATATTTAAAAAAATTGTTGCATTGCAGAATGTAAGTTAATAAATTATGCAAAAGAACATAAGAAAATTGTTATGATTGGAGCAAACTATTATAACTCTAATAAAGCTTCGACGTACAGCGACAATGGAAGAAAAAAGCTGCCACTCAATTAGAACAGAAATAGTGAAAAACATTAATACATACAGGAAACCCCAAGATAACCAAAGATGATATTTTTTTACGTTGAAAGTTATTAAAGGCAAAAATATCACAACAAAAGAAGACCAAAGTCTAAAATTCACAGAACTAACGAAGACTTGAAATACTGTTTTCTTTCTGCGAGTCAATAGAATTATGTTTCCTTCTTGAACATTAAAGGATAAATGAAAAACGAATGCACAAAAGATCGCTAGAATACTTGAGCAAGTATGAACCAAAAACGTTCTATCCCGACTAGAAACTGAAGGAAAAAATTAGCAGGAAATCACATATTGTTACAGTTGCAAAATCTGATTCCAAATCGAACTAAATTTTAACAGCAAGGTAACAAACGCGAAAAAGGCGCTCCTGAAGAATTAAAACACAAACTCTGGTATAGTGAGAATTGAAAAAACCTTTAAACTGTTTGAAAATGAATTATTCAATACCATAGCGTAAAGGAAAATGTCTTGACTTCTTTATTACCGAGAAGCTACCAAAATTAGCGACCAATGTATGGTTATAGAAAGACGCAGATAGGAAAAAGACTGTGTGATAATCCCAATTAGAAATAGCGAAAAAACTAGCAAAGAAACTGAATAAATCTTATTAAACCAGCGGATATCTTAATGATGAATAATCATGCAATTCTCCCGTAGAATCCGTAACGACGAATTAAACTCAAATTTCAATTTAACCATTTTAAAGCTAAATGACTACTTTAGTTTGAAAACAATTAATTAAAACAACTTTTAGCGTCCAAGACCAGTGGGCCCTGCATTAATCATAGCCAGTTAACGCGAGTAATATGGAAATTACTTAAATCGACAGCAATTGCCAATAAGTATCTAAGATCAGCGTTTTCTTATTCAACAATTAAAGTTTTACAAACGAGATTCTCATCGTTAATGAGATGCAAAAATCCGAGTCGAATCAGACCTTGTCTTATCGGACAGATGTAATTAACTCGCGTTATACCATTTAATGATGCAGAAGATGTTGCAAGATAAAGACAGAAAACAAGACCATGGTCTTAAGACGATGTTTAGGAGCCTGTCATGTGTCATTCAGGCTTAGCTTAATAGCTGGAATATTAATTCAAATCATCTGCTGGGATTAAGAAACCGGGGAAAAAATCGCTGAGTGCCTAAGTGGAAAACTTCTGGTCTGGGACCGATTAGTGCGACTTATCCGCACCTCTCAAACCACCCATACCCAGGTGTTCGACAAATGTCTGAAATTATAACCCTCTGATCGAAATTACACCCGCCTTTAACCTACTGCACGATTCCAAAACTATAAAACAAATTGATTTAATAACTGGGTGGACCAGCTCGGCCTACCTACCGGTTCTACATGGTGGCATACCTGACACTCCGAAGATTTATGGGTCTATTTAGAACACAAACAAGGGAAAAGAAGGCGAATAATGGGGCATAAGATTGGCCACGTTCCAGAATCATAAACACGATTTATGGAATACCATTTTGCATTGAATACGAAATGAAATTGGAGAGCGAGTACCTCTCTCTACTCGTTCTGTGTAATATGAGCCATTGTCAAAGAAGATTTATTGAAGTGGCTGATTTACTTATTGCAAGGAATCATTAGGCTCTAGTTAGTAAAATCACGAAGTATATAAATCTTTCAATTTTGCTATGCAGTAAACTTGTGTACTGTATATTGTGATACCATGGAAGTAAAAAGTGTGATGGGATCTAATGAAAATGCCATTCCAAATGTCTTACAGAAGTGTGAAAGAAAAGCAGTTGAAACTTTTTTATTTTATCAATTTAAACACTTTAGGGCTTGTAATGGATTTGCTCCTGGTCACTCTTTGCTGAGCGGGAAATTGGGATACTTTAAAGGTTCAAGCACCAATGTATGTGAGCTTTTTTCTTGCATCTTTAGGGTGACCTCTAGACAAGAGGTTTGGAGAATAATCTGTTTTATTACATTTTTCACGGTGTGAATCGATTGCAATACGTTACGGTACCATCATTTCTGGTAAAGATAAAGACGCAGTTCTCTCTCGCACGCGCACAGCCGCCCGCGGACCTTTGGGTAGTGTTAGTGTGTAGTCTGTGGGCCGTTCGTGTGTATATAATTGTGTGTAGTCTGTATATCGGTGTCCTTTGGATGGGCTTTCGCTCGAATTGCTTTCGTTAGAAATCGTACAAAAAGGAGCTAATTCGTTCGCTAGATCCGAAATAATTCGTACAAATTCACACGAACCACGATCTATTGTGGTAAGTAAAATGGAACCTTTGGACGGTCGTTCTTTGGAAAGATTTCGTCATGATTTCGCATATGTGGCTATCGCATATGCGATGCATATATCGATATATTTTTTAAGTTACTTGCTTCATGTTCTTTGTATAAAAGCCCTCATCCAGACGAAGTTGGAACACCAAACATACTCTTGTTTCCCCATTCCCCATTTTCACTTATTTTGTGGCCGCTTTAACATCAACGGCTAAGTTGGAGCTTCGAACCCTCATCACTCACTCACTCAAACAGGTCATACTTGCTACATTTTTGTATGATCATTGCCCCAAATGTCCTCATTTTTTTAGTTTGCCATACCTTTGCGCTTTCTGAGTGAATTCCCCTGAATAATTATTATATTTCAGCAGACCTTTGAAAGTAAGACGGGGTCGTTCTTCAAGTGGTTCATGTGTTTTATATTTATTCTAAATGCGTTTTACCTTTTTGGCTGATAAGTTCCTTTCTTCCTTGCCTGATTAAACTTGAAACCAAAGAAACTATATAATCATTTGTCTCAAGGCTTTTATCCTACATGCCACTTGCTCGGCTGCTGTTCTCTTCTAAAACAGGTTAAGAAGATTTTTTTCCTATCTTGAAGCTAGATTTACATCGATCAACTTGAAGCTTTTACCTCGACAGATGAAAAGCTCCTCCTTTCCGGAAGTTCTTCGTTACTCTGAGTTTTTTTTCTAAATCAACTTACAAATGTTTTCTATGTACGAATCAACTTCTGAAGCTTATTTCGTTAGAGTTTATTCTTCAATTTAGAAATTTACATTAACAGCTGATACTTGAGGGTAAACCCACTTTTGAAGTAAATAAACTGAGTAATCATTTGCTTCGTGTTTTTAATCGACATTCAAGAGTTTTCTTTCAAGATACTTTGAGATCCACGATTACTTTGGAGTCTTCGAATCTTTGTATTTCTAGTACTAATTTCCTCTACTTCCTTCGTTTATGTGGTTTGTCTGACAACGTAGTTTTTTTGCAATTTAAGTGAGTTTACTATCTACGTCAGTTAAGCATTAATTCCAAATGCTAAATGCTTATGTAAACACCAAACACACGAGTGAATCAACTAGAAGTGTTATAAAACCTTAAACTGGAAAAAATAATTTAATCTTAATTGCAAATTCTTTAGCAGCAGCTTAAATAAGTTTTAAAATTAACGCTTAGTTCCAATAAAATGTTCACGAAAAGCATTAATTCTTTAGAACTAAAATGAAAAAAACCATCTAAACAAACGACATAGTAAAGATAATGAGACCACTTTTCTCTAAGACGTTTTGCCAGCAGAATGGCTGGCTTCTTCAAGGATAATTAGACGAAAACCCTCATAGAATAGGAGAAATTCCAAGCTCCAATTAAACGTTTTTTGAGGTCCAAAATCAAATCAATAATTCAGCTTGTTGATATTGAAAAAATCGATTACACTTGCGAAATACAGAGTAACTGAGTGAAATGTAAATGAAAAAAACTACGCGCATTTTCACACTCGGTCTGAGCGGGAATTTAATTCAAGTGGTTTGTTTGACTAGTAAAAGCATGCAATCGTCCAGACTTTTGCAACAAGAATCGTTAGTAGTTAAGAAAAGCAGGAAAAACGTCTTAACAAGATTGTTGGCAAGAACACAAAAGCGACATTTTTTCAAATCAACTTACCACAATTACGATTCTTCCAAAGATGGCAGCTTAGCGGTTCTGAAAATGACCAAAAATAACTTTAATCTCAAAACAAAACCAGTATTATAACAAAAATTGTCTCACGAATATTAAGGACAACAAAATAGCAAACAGCGCACTGGTATGAGGGAAAATCGTCATTTAGTATTTCTTGAGTCAAATGGAGTTGAAGTTTGAAGTGAACTTCAAAGTTGTTAACGTTTACTGAATATTAGTTAGGCCATGCATTAAACACAGAAAAAAGAAAAAAAAAACAAAAACTAGTTCGTCGGGAAAAGCAAATCGAGAAACACCTGACAAAATCGCATGATGGCCATCATCCATCCGAAGACGAGAATCCGCGGACGTAGTTGAAACGACGGGACAGCCCGAACCGAGAGTGTTGGAGCTTTAAAAACGAGACAAAGATTGATGAAGAAACGTCTTAGAATATTAAATTGTCAGCTGGTGGTGCATTGGCATTAGGAATGTTTTTCGATGTCTCTTATTGATTAGACTGTCTAATATTACTGATGGCATTTGCGCTCACTTGTGGCGTTTTTTGCTTCAAAAGTCACCTTTAGCCTTTACCAAGGCTTGAAATATTGCAAACGTCTCATTGGCTAAAAGCGATATCAATTTTCCTGGTCCTGATTTCAGGCAATCGAAAGTTGAAATAACCGGCCGGATAAATAGATAAATTCGCACTAGCGAATCCATTATCTAATGGTTTCCGCATAAAAATCCACTGATGAAAACACGGCTTTTTATAGAAAAAAGTGGGCGTATGTGGAATTTTTATCAATTTTCAAACACACTGAAATATTTTCGTTTATCACCCTATTATTATCAACCATTTTACAAGCAAAGTCATTTTTTTGGGTCAATTAATTCCCAAGCGAACCAACAAATTGTTTACACTGAGGGAACAATTACCGAATCGAAAACGACAAAGTGACGTGGTAATTTTAAATTGAAAGGCGTTTCTTAAGAACCTGTCAAATGTGGCAGGCGCGTTACTTTTGTGTGTTCATCAACGCGGAACCCACAAAGAGATTTTCGGTACCTCCTTAAGCTGGTACGGGCCTTTTCAATAATTATGCAGATGATCCAGCGCTTTGTGCAAGCTTTCCAAAGTCAGCATTGGCAAAACAGGGACTGATTCAAGTTGAATTTGAAACCGTGACCATCTTCAACAAGCACAGAAAATAAATGCTGTCCAAGAACCAATCAAAGGTTCGTATTTGAATGAAAATTTTGATAATTTTCATCTTCGTTTTATTGAAAAAAAAATTATCCAAACGATATAAAATCCAAACAAAGCAAGAAACGAAAATTTAAATGATTCAGATGTTACACTCAAAATTTACTGGCAGAGTAACTCACTCTCGATTAGTTTTCTTTCACGTTTCTCAATAATACTTTTGTCGTCTACTTCGGGGTATGTATTTTTTTAATTTTGGATTTTATATCGCTGATTTTCTTCGATCTTTATGTTTGTCTGTTACTTTCATTTATTATTATTTTGATATTTTTACTGTTAGTTATCTGTTATGTATATTTTCTTCACATTAGATTTCTTCCGTTTTCAGGCTACATCATTCCGATCCATCTTTACTGATCAAAGACATCATTTTCTTGAAAGATTATTACTTATCATTATTTTTATACGATACCAAACTTTTCCTTTAAATTTAAATTTTTGCATGGTTTTCTTTGACATTCACTTTATATTGGGTTCGTGAAAGATTTGTATTTAATATAGCACTGTCTATTTCAAAGTTTGCAACTGCTTTTGTCCGTTTGCCCATTTATTTTAAGCTTTTTTGCGTTCATTTTAGTTGTTGTTTCTTCATTGCATCTGTTTTGATTTTCTTCGCACGTAATTCGGCGCTAACAAGCGGTGCTAAGAATTTAATGGTTCTGCAAAAAATTGAGCATACAATTCTTATCGCTTTTCATCAGATCTTTTTCCTGAAGATTCTACAAATTGCAGTAAAAAAACAAAAAAATATTGCAAATCTCACATGCTAGTGGCGTTTTGAACAAACTTGGCCATCATTAGGGACACTAAAATTTTGCCATTTTTTAGACAATAAAAAAGGAKAAAATTCAAGCGAAAGTAAAGACCAAAAAAAAGAAAGCTAAAGCGATCAAATATGTTTTTGCTCGGTAAGATTTAATTACAKCAGTAGGTGAAGACAGTAGTTTAGTCTATTAACAATCCAAAATTTACTRACAAAATGTACGTTTTTTTTGCAAAATTAAATAATAATTATGGCTGCCTTTACGTCCATGATGTGCTTCCTTATTGCATCCAATTATAAAAATTTTGTTCAAGTYGTTTTCTTGAYGAYATGATSGATTTGAAGTTTMTTTTGAATGAGTTGTTGCCGATTTGCRAAAATAATTATTAAAAAAAGAATGGAAAACCAAAAGTACTCAAAAAAACTTTATTGATAAGTTTTTAAGTTGAAAATAGACAAAAGAAAAACTGTTCTCAAAGAAATATTGCGAGATGTTCCTTTGAATATTCGAGTCGGCTTAAAAAAAACAGGAAAATATGAAGCATTAAGGGCYGTTGCCATTTTTGGCCAAAACTGAAACKAAATACAAACGTACGAAACACTGAATMAAATAACATAATGGACAATAGCAAATAAACTTGAACAAAATGCAMAAAAMGTTAAATTAATTATGAGAATAAAAACTGCGCCAAATGATTCAAYCYTTAATTAATTTGTCGAAAACTTTATTTTAGCAGTTTTAGTTCCTTTAAATGTTTAATCGTCATTAGTTTCATTGGGGTTCATCCTTTGTTTATATTGACTATTTCATAGTTTTAAYTAWTTTCAGTTGATTGTTTTAYACAGTTTTTAATTCCTCAACTTCACATTTCTCTACAGTGCAATATTTACYTTCTGTATGATTTTTTACAAGYTWRCWGWTTTCAKKYTACARSYTAAGMAAGACTTGATTTCTATGAAACATTCSTACTTTTYTCACGAYACCAAACTTYTYCTTTAACTTTTATGTATTTTATCTTGCKAAGAACCCATTTTGTACATGTTTATACATGTTTTTCAAAGATTCATATTTAGTATRGYACTAGCCATTTCAAAGWTTGCAACTACTTTTGTCAATTTTTTTSATTTATTTTAAGCTTTMTTTGCATTTAGGTTCATTTWATTTATTGTGTGYTCATCATGTTACATCTGTTTTTATTTTATTCGCACGTAATTCRGCTCTTAMAAACAATKCAAAAATTTTAAWGGTTCTGCAAAAATTTTCTTTAACAWTCTTGTCGCTTTTCATCAGATCTTTTTYCTGAAGATTCTAYAAATTGCAGTAGAAAAACAAAAAAGATTGCAAAACTCTWYTTKKTAGACAATGAARMG